CTTGTTTGCTTTGGTGTTGTCCGGTGGTCGGGGTCGCTTTCATGTCTCTCTGTAAGTGATAACCCTTGCATACCTTCAATTCCCGGGCAGGGTTATTAAACCAGTGTTAGGATCCAGAACCCTGTAGGATGTTTTTGTACATCTGTCGCCACCCTGATCCCTCTGAGTTGCCTTTAAATCTGAGTCTGGGTGATCAGTGTCCTGGTATCTGAGAGTTCCCTGAGATCTTTTTCTGCTGGGGATAGAGGATCGGGGTGATGAGCACAGGAATGCTGGCCATGCCACCCCCCTGCAGGACTTTGCCTTCCTTGCCAAAGTGATCCGATCACAGACTTTGCGGGTCCTTTCTTGGGGGCTGCGTGACCTTCCCATCACAAAGCCGGAAGCAGGGTGTGTTGGGACAGTTGGTTGGGAAGCAGTGTGTCCACTGGATGGGCTCTGACAGTGACACTTTGGTCTGTTCCTGCAGCTTCGCAACAACAAGGCAAAAGATGTCTGCTTGGACCAGGGGCCGCTGGAGAACCACACAGCCATCCTGTACCCCTGCCACGGCTGGGGACCACAGGTAGGAGCTCGTCTCTGACCAGGAAGGGAGCAAAGGCACCAGCCCACCAGGGGGCCTTGTGTAGAAACTTCCATTGTCCTCCATTTTGGTAACTGGTACCTGTTCTGTGATTCCAAGAAGGTGCGGGCTTTCTGGTAGTTTCTCTTCAAAAGCCAGAAAAGATTCAGTAAGAGGTTACATTTGTGCAAATATGAAGAGGGTTGATGTGAGTATTTTGTGTGGAAAGGAAAATGCGAATTAGTACCAGACTCGATTGCCAATAGCAAAGCTGACCATTTGCTGTCCTTACAATCAAACCTACTGCTTCCGACTTGGGAGAAACAATAAATAGATTCCTTCCTGAGAAGCTGCTGGCCAAATCCATCCTGGAAGAGCATCAGTCAGGCGGTCAGTGGGACCTGGATCCTCAGTGCTGGTGTAAGAGCAAGGAGCTCTCTGGGAAGGGGGGAATGTTCTCAGGAGCATTTCAGAGAACACACAGGTGGACTTGCAAAGGGCAAAAAAATCAGCAAGTGGAGCTAAAGCCCCGATAAACAGATCTTCCTTGAGTCCTCAGTGCTAGTCTACTGTGTGTGTGTTTGTGTGTGTGTGTGTGTGTGCATGTGTGCAAAAAGCAGAAACTCTGTAAGAGAGGGAAAAATCACATCCCAAAATGGCATTAAATTGGACATTAGTGCACATTTAAAACATGACAGTGTCAATCAGTAGTCACAAAAGGGGAGCTACAAACTGCAAAAATGTTAACTTTGGATTCCACGGGAGCCCTGGTCAGTTGGCTCTGAGTCATCCCCACAGATTCTCCCCCAAGGACTTTGTAGCAGAAGGAAGAAACCCTGTAAGCTCCTCCATCCATCTCAGAAAACACACACATAAAATGCAGCTGTGTGCACATCTCACACACACATACACACAGGCATGCATACAGGCTCATGGATTTCCTGTGCTCATCGCATCTTGCCTTCCCATTGGGCCGAGCCCAGAAGGAGCAGAGTTGAGTTGCCTCAGTCCTGATACACAGCCTCCTCCTGAGGGTGGAGGGACAGTGCTAGACAGGTCACTGGGCAAATCCAAGATCCTTGGGGCAACTCCAGGAAGTAAGCAGACAGGGCGAGGATATTGAGGCAGGGAGGGTCGAGGGCCTATGAACAAAGCAACCTAAAACCTAGGTCCACCAGCACAGCCAGTACATTTTAAATTTAAGTCAAATCCATTTCATTAAAACTGGAGCCCACACTAGGAGTCCTGGACCCACTGCTCTCCCTGGAGCTCGCCACTGGTCACTGGGAATTGGGGGTGAGCATGAAAGGCAAAATAGATGGAAAAATTTAGCACACATCTTCATCCTGTCATTCAGTCTCTCAACAAATGTGTCTTGATCACGTACTGTACGTGATAGCCCCAGTTAGGTAAGTGCAGTTGTAAGATGTAGTCCTTGCATTCACTGGTTTCCACTTGAAGGGGAGAGATGAATAAAGAGACAGGAAACTTGCAGCACTGTCACTGTGGCCCTGGGCTGGGTGCTGGCACTCAGAAGCTGACCCTGTTTGGCTGGGGCTTAGGATGCTGGAGGGAAGTGAGAGGTGAGAAACAGGGGAAGAGAGAGCTGGAGGGATGGGTGGTGCCGGTCCCCAGCACCCAGGCCCCCCCAGAGCTTCTGTCCCCCAAGATTGTACATTTCTAACAAGCTCCCAAGTGAGGCTGGGATGAGGAGTGGGCACTGGGGAGCTACAGACATGGGGTGCCGTGTCTAGACTGGGAATAGCTGGAGTCCGGGGTTAGTGAGAGAGGCTGGTGTACTGACGGGGTCACAGGCAGGAGGCCGGGCCAGCACACTGCTGGGTGCTGAGCCAGGGGGCTCGCTCCTAGCCCCGCTGGATGCTCCCAGCCATAGCCAGGGAAATACCAGGCCCAGCTCTCTGAGGAACGCTTAACTCCCTGGCTGCTTTCCAGTCTCCTGAAGCAGGCCACGTTGGGACTGAGCTCTTATTGACTGTCTCCTAACAGAGACCGTCCCATTGGGATATTGGTCTTTGCAGAAGCAGAAGTGTCGGAGAAAGGGGTAAAGATAACCTGATAAACGTCCCCCAAAGACCCGAGGGCTTCACCGCTTGGCTCTCAGCTGTCACTTTTTGCTTTGCGTATTTCAGGGGAAGGGTCCTAAGCCACTTAGGAAGCTCTCGCTGAATCTGAGGACCGGTACCTAGATTCAGCTGTGAGTCTGCTCAGCACCCCTCCCCATATCCCCTGGTCACCAGAACACCCACTCCAGGCAGCCTGGGAAGACCCTGAACTTGACTGTACTCACCTATCTTTGCAGAGTTTTCTCCTCTTTGTTTCCTTGACCATAAGAGTCCTTGCTCAAGGCATCTGCTGAACAGATTGGACAAGATGCCTAGGTAGACTTTTGTCTTTTTCGGTAGTGGTGGTACAGGGATTGAACCCAAGACCTTCTCACTGAGCTATATCCCCAGCCCTTTTTTGTTTTTCACTTTTTAAAATCTTGAGACAGGATCTCACTGAGTCACTAAGTTACTCAGGTTAGGTTCAAACTAGCCATCCTCCTGCCTCAGCCTTCTAGAGTGCTGGGATTTACAGGACTGCATCATCACCAGGCCTGGCTCTGAGGTAGAAATTTAATGAGTGCCTTCACCTTGAAGTTAACCACCTACTTCCTCCAGTCCTTGGCCAGGCAGGAGTCAGGCACCAAGCTAGCTGACTTACCAGCTGTGTGTTCGGTGGCATTCACAGTGCAGCACCAGGGTCTTTGTTAGGAAATAATTAAAATTCATCTTTCCCCAACTCCATATGCATACAGAACATTTCCTGATCCTACCATTCCATGACTTCTGAAACAACAAGCCAAATTAGTCTGCTCCTGGCTTCCCCCAACTCCCAGCCGAATACCTAGAAGTGGGCCCCGGTTGCTTTCCATGAGCAGATAGCTTGACACAAATCTAATGCTCTTTTCTGTGCTGCCACATGTTCTGAATTAGAAGAGCACACCCTTGGCACGGCCTTCCAGCTGCCAGGCTGGGCCTCTGCCTGCCCAGCAAGACCACCCCTCCTTCCCAAGCCCAGTCTCCTGGAGGAGTGAGGGGCCCCTCCTCCACCATGCTCAGGGCTTGGCACCCTATGCAACAGCTTCGGAAGTGCTGTGGGCAAACAGAGACCAAATCCGAGCCCCTCCAACCAGACAGCTCCCAGCAGAAGGGATTGGTGTTCCATGGACATTGTTAGCTTAATTAATGGACTCTATGTTGTAATTTATTATCAAGCAGCAATTAAACAGAGATAAAATAGGCACTGAGGAGGGTAATTTCCTGTCTTGCAGCATGTGTTTGTCAACAAGATGGAAACGGTTCCCAGTCACTTGGAGAGCCCGCTCACTCTGAAGTGTCTGTCGGCCATGAGCTCATTACCAGCTTCAGTGTTGTCTGGTTCCTAATCTGAATTAGACAAACAATCACTTCTTTCTGGAGCCTGAGTTTTAGTTAAAAATAGGGCATCAAGGAAACAGCAGCAGCCTTTGTATCATTTGAACCCACTCAGGACAGGAGGTATTTTCTAGGGAGGCCCATCCTAAGGAGGCTCTGGCCATCCTGGGGTGAAGTCCAGGGTGGGTCCCCAAGCTGAAGCAGCCACAGGAAAACCTGAGGGTAGGCTGAGTAGCCATGGGGTGACTTCCTCCACCAGACCCTTTCTGCTGCCTCTTTCTACCAACTGGTCTGCCTTCCCCAGACACAGCTGCTGATTTCCCTGAAAGGCGAAGGTGTGTTCAGAAGGAGACCAGCAGTCTGGCCTGGTGGTGCAAGCCTGTAATTCCAGCACTCTGGAAGCTCCCAAGTGATCTGGAAGGCTGAGGCAAGAGGGCAATTTGGAACCCTGCCTGGGAACTTGGCAAGACCTTCTCTCAATAAAAGCGGGCCCAGTGTGAAGACCCTAGGTTCAATCCCCAGCACTAGCTGAGAGGAAAGGAAAGGAAAGAGAGAGAAGGGAGAAAGAAAAAAGGAGGGAAGGAAGAGAGAAAGGAAATGGAAGAGACCCGCTGAGCATCAGAACCACCCCCACCCCAGTGCGTGCCGTTGCGCCTCTGTCCAAGGTCCTGACGGGGAGGCCTCTGGTGAACTCTTAACCAGGGCCTGAGTTCTGAGTCCTGCCTAGGTCGCAGCACTGCCGCCAGGGCTGGGCTGAGACAAGGAGCCAAATCAGTGGTAATAAGACAAATACCTGGTTTTAACTACATGTTTCCTCCTCCTAGTGCTCTGTCTGCACCCTCACATCCCCTTTTCTGTTAAAGGGAACGTTGGCATGAGGGTGGGACTGTGCCAGCTTCCAAATGCAAGTCCTTTCTGTGACCCTGGGTTCTGAAAGTTCTGCTGTGAGCTCTGGGGAGAATCTCCACATGGCCTCCATCCACAGCAAGGCGCAGTAGACAGACATAAGTGTGGAGGAAATGCAGAAATGCGTACATTTGGAAAATAAGAACCGAGACACAGGGGAGAAGAGAGGGGCATGGGCTGTTTAGAGGCAGAAGGCTGAGGCTGGTGCTCAGGGCTGCGTGAGACCCTTTGCATTTCAGGATGAAGAGCTGGGCTTCCCACTTAGCATCTCAGATGCCATTCACCAGGAACCTGTTACAAATGCAGGTTCCCAATCCAACTCAAAATGAGCCTGGGCTCTGCATGGGAAATGTCTTCAGGGGCTTTTTCCTTTTCAATCAACAACTATCTATTGAGCATCTATCACAAACAAGGCTGAGAGTTAGGACTGCCAGTAATTATTGTATGTCCCTGCTTGTCTGGACATCCCAAGATGATGCCTAGTGTCCCGCTGAGTTCTTAAAACATGGGTGTTATCTCAGGTTTGTTTGCATGCTTGAATTTTTAAAACATTTTAAGATAAAACTTTACTGTTTACAGTTTTGCAGGGTTCTCTTCTTCATGATTTTGTTTTAAAATGGGCCCTTGCTGTGTTGCCAACACCAGTCTCAGACACCTGGG